CATTTTGTTACTGTAGAGATTTATTATACACTGCACATTACTGTGAGTTTTATTACTGTATAGCCTGTTTATACACTGCACATTACTACGGGGTTTATTTCTGTATGAGAATGTATCAAAGTTTTTTTGTTTTTTTACATCACTATGCAGCTGCATATTCAAATCCCCTACTACACTGCATGACTTGGTAACTGAGCATTTGCTTGCAGGTCTAGTACTATATGAGGATAGATAGAATTTATTCTTTAAACTGAGAATCGTGAGGAACTGACAAATTGATAAGGGAACTGCAAATGTCCAGCTCAGCTATTTTTGCACCTTCTTAGCTATTTTAGTCTAAAATGTACAATTCTCTTATCAGTTCTGCACAATTCCCAGCCAATAAATAGGTCACAGAATCTCGGTTCGATTTAAATATAACTTGAAAACTATTCCAGTTTGTAAATGTGTTTTGTTTTTTTCTTTATTGACATCCTTCTCAGATGATTAGACGTAGTGGGTGTTTAATCTACACATATATAATAGCTATACTTTTTCTGTGTTTATCATTCAGGCATCATGGAAAGTTGCCTTTTTGGTTCCCAGAATAAAAAATAAAAAACCCCACAGAGCAACCACAAAGATTCAGACTACTTCAGTGAATCATAATGCACCTCCATATCTCTCCATAATATGCTTGTGTGAGCATTAAACTATAATCTATTCTAGATAATAATTCTGACCTTCTCAAAGGAGAGACAACAAGGCACGAAGAGCAGAGATGTATTTAATTTTTGGGCTGCTCTAGGTCCAGTCTAGTGATCCACCTTTTCCAACCAGTCTCTTGCACTCACACATACAAGAAAAGTCACATAATTTGGACATATCTCCCAACATTTCAAATGATCAAAGAGGGACACTTTAATTTTAGGAGTGTGGCCAGGGGTGAGGTTGTTCTGAGGACCTTTTATGTGACTTACTAATAATTTATGCAACAAAAATGTACAGATCTCCATAATTTACAATAAGAAATTCAACTTTCCAAATAAACTCTCACCAATTTTCAACCTGTATAAACCTGTCAATGAACCCTCTCCCATCCCCAAATAGATCACTGCCTGCATCCTACCAATTAACCCTCTTTCTCCCAAAGACAACTCCCCACATTCCCCAATTAACTCACTCTATCCCTAAAATATCTTTTCACATCCCCCTATCCATTAACCCCCTTTCTTTTCGAATAGTTTCCCCACATCCCCCTAACAATTAACTATAGCCCTTTGCTCACCATAATAGTGCCCAAATATGTCTCCTTCATCAGGTTTAGGTCCGCACATTTTATTACCAGTGACAGAGATTGGTTACAGGGCCGACATGTTAGCAGACCATGTCACGGTCTTGTTACGTGAGTTACAATCTTCCAATAAGGGAGACAATTGTGAAGAGGGCCAGGAGAATGTATGAGAACACTGAGAGTGGACAACAACTGAAATAGATTGCCCTTTAGTGTGTCCCCTCTCATGTTCTAGCTGACATGCTATTAGTCTGTTCCCATTAAACCATTCCCACCCACAAGGGCAGTCCAGATCTACTTCCTCGCAGGGTCCCTCGAGAGATGCAGCAACCCCAGACAATAGTTTTTGGCCTTCATTGGGCCTTGTCAGTGAGGTGTAACTCGTAGCCCTCCTAAGCACAGTGAGCAAGAGGTCCACATCTGGAATACCCTTTTGACCTAGGGACACGCTAGTCATATGCAAATTAGCCCAAAACAAGTGTATATGAGCATGAAATGGAAAACCGCTTCAATGCGTCTCCACTCGGTATAGCTCATATACCCTCTAAGCCAGTGATGGCGAACCTTTTTGAGCCCGAGTGCCCAAACCGTAATACATGCCAATTTTTTTTCCCTCAAAGTGCCAAAACGGCAATTAAACCTGAATACTGAGGTTTAAGTTTAGAAAAAACAACTCATACAGTTATCCGAACTAATTAACATCTCTGTGTGTGTATTAGGCAGTTTGTGTGTGTGCTCGGCAGTCTGTCTGTATGTGTATTAAGCAGTCTGTCTGTGTACTTAGCAGTCTGTCTGTATTTAGCAGACTGCTGAATACACACACAGACTGCTGAGTACACAGTCTGCTGAATACACACACAGACTGCTAAATACACACACAACCTGCTGAGTGTACACACACACACAACCTGCTGAGTGTACACACACACACAGACTGCTGAGTGTACACACACAGACTGACTGCTGAGTGTACACACACTGCATTGAGGGGTACATTGTATGTGTTTGTGTGTGTGGGGTGATGTGATGTGTGGGTAGGGTGATGTGTGGGTGTCTTTGTGTGGGGTGATATGTGTAGGGCAGGGGTGCTGTGTGTATGTCGTCCCCCCTCTCCCCCCGTCCCACACTGTTTTCTCCACCCATACCTCCCTCAGTTTCCCCCCCAATATCTCCCCCTCAGTTTCCCCCCATCTCTCCCTCAGTTCCCCCATATCTCTCCCACTCAGTTCCCCCCCCATATCTCTCCCACTCAGTTCCCCCATATCTCTCCCCTCAGTTCCCCCCATCTCTCTCCCACTCAGTTTCCCCCCCATCTCTCTCCCACTCAGTTTCCCCCCCATCTCTCTCCCTCAGTTTCCCCCCATCTCTCTCCCATTCGGTTTAGCCCCCATCTTCCCCCCATCTCTCTCACTCAGTTTCCCCCATCTCTCTCCCACTCAGTTCCCCATCTCTCCCCCAATCTCTCCTCAGTTTCCCCATCTCTCTCCCTCAGTGTCCCCCCCCTTGATCTCCTACCTTGTAGCGTGGCCGAGCGCACCGCGGAGCTCAGTTTCCTGTACCCGGCGGACAGGAAGTGCTCTCTCTGTGAGCACTTCATTTCTGTCCGCCCGGGTACAGGAAACATAAGTTCCTGTACCACGGCGCGCTCGGCCACGCTACACAGAGTGCCTGGCAGGAGGGAGCGCTGTGCGCTATGCGCTCACCTCCTGCCGGTCACTCCGGCTTTGCGCCCGCCGGGCCGGTGCGCCCTAAGACTTGTGCCGCCTTATGCATGCGCCGGCGGAGCGCACCCTCCCTCCCTCCGGCGACCTATGGCCGCGTGCCCACAGAGGGGGCATGGAGTGCCACCTGTGGCACACGTGCCATAGGTTCGCCATCACTGCTCTAAGCACAGTGAGCAAGGTGCCCTCATCTGATCCCTTATAACGTCTCCCTATAATTCCCACTATTACTCCATATAACCTCTCCCTATAACTCCTATTACTCCATATAACCTCTCCCTATAACTCCTCCTATTACTCCATATAACCTTTCTATAACTCCTCTATTACTACTCCTATTACTCAAATCTCTCTATAACTCCTCCTATTACTCCATATAACCTCTCCCTAGAACTCCTTTTACTCCATATAACCTCTCCCTATAACTCCTCCTATTACTCCATATAACCTCTCCCTAGAACTCTATTACTCCATATAACCTCTCCCTATAACACCTATTACTCATATATCCTCTCTCTATAACTCCTCCTATTACTCCATATAACCTCTCGCTATAACTCCTCCTATTACTCCATATAACCTCTTACCTAGAACTCCTCCTATTACTCCATATAACATTCCTCAATAACTCCTTCTATTACTCCATATAACCTCTCTATAACTCCTCCTATTACTCCATATAACCTCTCCCTATAACACCTCCTATTACTCATATATACTCTCTATAACTCCTCCTATTACTCATATAACCTCTCGCTATAACTCCTCCTATTACTCATATAACCTCTCGCTATAACTCCTCCTATTACTCCATGTAACCTCTTACCTAGAACTCCTCCTATTACTCCATATAACCTCTCCCTAGAACTCCTCCTATTACTCATATATCCTCTCTATAACTCCTCCTACTACGCCATATAACCTCTCCCTATAACTCCTCTATTACTCCATATAACCTCTCCCTAGAACTCCTCCTATTACTCCATATATCCTCGCCATATAACTCCTCCTATTACTGCATATAACCTCTCTCTATAACTCCTCCTATTACTGCATATAACCTCTCTCTATAACTCCTTCTATTACTCCATATAACCTCTCTCTATAACTCCTCCTATTACTCCATATAACCCTCTCCCTATAACTCCTCCTATTACTCCATATAACCTCTCCCTATAACTCCTCCTATTACTCCATATAACCTCTCCCTATAACTCCTCCTATTACTCCATATAACCTCTCCCTATAACACCTCCTATTACTCCATATAACCTCTCCCTAGAACTCCTCCTATTACTCATATATCCTCTCTATAACTCCTCCTACTACGCCATATAACCTCTCCCTATAACTCCTCTATTACTCCATATAACCTCTCCCTAGAACTCCTCCTATTACTCCATATATCCTCGCCATATAACTCCTCCTATTACTGCATATAACCTCTCTCTATAACTCCTCCTATTACTGCATATAACCTCTCTCTATAACTCCTTCTATTACTCCATATAACCTCTCTCTATAACTCCTCCTATTACTCCATATATCCTCGCCATAGAACTCCTCCTATTGCAGCATATAATATTTCTCTAGAAAAAGCCTTCTATTATGCGGTTTAATATCTTCCTGTAACTCCAACTGTGCGTCATATAATATTTCCACATAACTAATTTTGTTACTGTGCATAATCTCTACCTGTAGCACATCCCATTACTCCTATATAATATCTCCTTATAACCCCTCTACTCCATGTAACCTATCTATACCTCTTCCTATTACACAATATAACCTCTCCATAATTCCTCATGTTACTCCGTATAACTTCCATTGCTACCATGTAACCGCTTAGATTTATTTTTGTTTCATGTTTTCCTCTAGGGAATAACTGAATTACAAAGATTTCTCCAGAAGAGAGAGAATGAGAAGAGAAGGTGTTGATCCCTAATATCAGGGAACCAGGAAGATACAAATAGAACCATATTTTCCTGGTCACCCACAAAGTCAGGATGAGCAGCATCTATAAGGACTACCTGAACCGGAATAAGACTGTAGAACATTACAACTATACAATGAAGATGACGGGCAGAGAAAAGTCATCCCGTTCAATTATCTCAATAATTTTCATTATTATCTGCTGTATTATAATCTTGGAAAACTTACTAGTTCTCATATCAGTATGGCGCAACAAAAAGTTCCACTCTCCTATGTTCTTTTTTATTGGAAACTTGGCTTTCTCAGACTTTCTCACTGGATGTGCCTACATTGCCAACATTTTGCTGTCTGGTTCATTCACCTTGGAGCTTACTCCTGTGGAGTGGTTTATCCGTGAGGGCTCAGCTTTCACAACTCTTGCTGCTTCTGTCTTCAGTTTATTAGCCATAGCCATTGAACGGCATGTGGCAATTGTCAAAGTAAAGGTCTACAGCCGAGACAGAAACTGTCGTATGATCTTCCTGATTGGGGCTTGCTGGGTCATCGCAATGGTCATGGGAGGTATGCCCATCATAGGCTGGAACTGCATCAATAAGTTTAGTGAGTGCTCTAGAGTTTTTCCCCTCTACTCCAAAAAATACATCCTTTTTGTAGTTACCATATTTACGATCATACTCTTAGCTATTGTTGTTTTGTATGTTCGTATATATTGTATAGTTAAATCTAGCCATGCTGAAATAGCAGCCCCGCAAACACTTGCACTTTTGAAAACTGTGACAATAGTTCTTGGGGTATTTATTATTTGCTGGTTGCCAGCGTTCATTATTCTTCTCCTGGATGTCTCTTGCAAAGAGAAAACATGCTGGATACTCTACAAAGCCGATTACTTTTTTGGACTGGCGACCTTGAATTCGGCCTTGAACCCTATCATCTACACGCTGAGAAGCAAAGATATGAGAAAAGAGTTTCTAAGGGTGCTCTGCTGCTGGAGTTATCTTCAAAAGAGCAAGACTCCTGACAGATGCATGTTACAACTACGTAGCTCCAGCTCTCTGGAAAGATATACACAAAAACATGACCTTCCCACTTCACCCATCATAAAAAAGGACTGTACAACATTTGTATGATTATAAAAGGAAAAATGTCAAGGGACACTGATTATGACGGTTACCTAAAAAGTATCTTAAGTTTGTGTCATCCGTGTGATGTTGAAAAAAGAGGAGTTTCGGTTATCAAACACATCCGATTGACAGTAACGGTTTAATGATGGCCTTTAGATACATTTACTTCTAGGTTTCCAGCTAAGTTTGAAGGTTTAAACCAGGGGTGGGAAACTTCAGCCCTCCAGATGTTTTGGACTACATCTCCCTTGATGATTTGCCAGCATTATGGCTGTCAGAGCATTATGGAAGATGTAGTCCAAAACATCTGGAAGGCCAAAGGTTCCCCACTCCTGGTAAACAATCCACGCAAGAAACTAGTATTTACATAGAACTTGCTATTCCCTTAAAACTATCAAGCATGACAAACAGCACTCTACGTATTGTGTCTCTGGTGAACAAAGCTGTATAGCAAAACCAAATTAAATTGGTTGAAGTGTTATCAGCTATGGGTTGGCTTTATGTGGAAGTGCTAGATATATAGTATTTTACATTTCAATACAATAAAATAAATGTATAAAGTAAGGCAGGTGTGTATGCAAACAATATAAAGTTCAAACTGAACTGAATACTAGCAAAATATTTATTTTTCTTTTGAAGAGCGTTTTTATTTAGATTCTCTATTATTGTGCCAAAAATAAATGAAGTTCCAAACCTGCAGTAGTAAGGTGCCATATGTATTAAAGCAAGCCCAATATGCTTTAATTTGGGGGTCCAGCATATTCTGACTGTAACAATTCACATATGTATATAATTTAGCATTTTCTAATTGGTTTATAGTATTGCAGTTGCCTTGTTTATCACAATTTTTGGCTTATTCTGAAATTGTTTACCAGGAATGTTTGGAGAGCTTTACAATAGAACAGAACTTTTTTTAATATTACATTTTAGTAACTGTATTTGTTGTAGCACCCCCAATATAAGATGTGCCTAGTTCCGTCTCCCTTTTCAGATAATTCTCCCAAATGTCCCCTGCACATGTACACACGTTCTGAGGGTGCTGTTGGCACCGATAACTGTGACATCACTGCAGAACAATAAATAGATAAGAAAAAATGGGCAACATTGGAGCATGACATCACTGGACTTGGCCACACTAGTAGATGTACTTCAACAACCACAATGCTGGCAAGTCTCTGTAGACATTTAAGCACAGGAAATAATAAACAGATATTTCAAAGACAATTATTACTTTGCTCTTGACGGGGAACATGAGATATGTAGCTGATCTTATTCCAGAACATCTTAAAGTATTTTCTAGCTAAGATTTCATCTAATGCATGGTGGTGTACATCTGAATTTGTGTTTTAGAACTCCATATATCTCAATCAGCAGGATTTTAAAATCACAAAACTAAAAAAAAAAGTTTCAGACTTACTCTTACTGCTGTGTGTTTTGTAATAATAAAAATGCTTTGTTTATTATAGAACTACATAAAACAGATCCTGCTCCGACCCTTAAACTTCCTGTGGGACCTTTCTCATGCCTGCAGGAAGTTGGGCTACAAGGCACATGTATAAACATGAATGAAGTAACAGAGCAATATAATTATACAAAAGTCTGTTTTTATAATAGAAACGAAAAATGCAACTTTCCCCTTTTGGAAAGAAGAAATGAAGGGTCAATATTGTCCTAATTAGGAGTAGAATTTGTAGGACATCTTTAGGACAATATTGACCCTTCATTTCTTCTTTTCAAAAGGGGGCAATTTTTCGTTTCTATGAAGTATATGAGGTATTTTGTAGTGTGGGTGTGATGTAATTATGTCATTGGCACCCAAAATACTTTCATCACTGGGTAACTTCTCAGGGCATGCAAATGCCCTCCCCAAATTTTGACAGTTGCCAACAATCTTAATTACGACAGTCCTGCTATTAGCAACACACTACACAAACTAGTTTTCATGACCAAAGCTCCAGTTGTCCTCATTTGCCATAATTTCAAGTACTTGTGGATGATGGCAACTGCATTTTCACGGTGCCCATTCCATGACAAAAAACTGGCACTGCTCATATTAAAGTGGTCATTGTTAGTTTGTGTGAGGGGTTGTAGGTTGAAGATGAGTAGAAACTACAACCGGGGGAAAAAAAATATATTTAAGATTTTTAAACTCTCGAGCTTCTATTGTTGGTTCCAAATAACTTTCAATCTGGTATATAGATGTGTACTACAGATATTTGCCACACCGCATTATTAAAATAGGGACTGCCCCAATTTGCACAAGAATAAAACACTGGTAACATAAAATATGGGGGTTTCTTGGTAAAGCCCAAAGAACATACAAAACATGAACCACACATAAGACTATCTAAGTTTGTAATCAGTGCTAAACGCATTAAAGTATTACAAAACTTAGCCAAATTGTGGAATCACCTTGCAACATAAGGAGTTTATTTTAGTTATGAAACCTAATAAATGCTCTTATTCATGAAGATTTAATATTTCCCCATATCTTAGTGACGTATGCAATGTTTTAATTTGATGGCATTCAATACGAGATATGCATTTATTTAGCCATTATAAACTGACCCACAAATTTGCTGTATTTAATGGCAACCCAAAAGATTTTGACCCAATTACCGTATCCTTTTATTTAATTAATTTATTCCTAAAAACAACAAACAAACAAATGTTTACTTGAAAAAAAAAAAACACACACACACACACACACACACAAATGTTCTTTGCTTCTTTACGGAAGTGGACATTCGAGACCCACAAAACTCGAGAAGAGAAGCTCCATAAACTAGGACGGGCAAAGTGCTCAAAACAGCTGTTGTTAAACTACATCTCCCAAAATGCTGAGGGAGCCAAAAGCTGCTTGCACTATGAGCCTACCTGGCTACGCTATTGTTAGTATTCTCATTTATTTAAAAGGTGCCATAGATTAGAGAAAACAATGGAAGGAAAAAGGAGGGTTTGTTGCTTAGGAAGGGCCTAAGAATAGTGTTAACATCATTTGAATTCTCATGTTAAAGTTGTGTTTTATAAATAATGACCATATAGGAGGTGAGCAGTCAATTTAACACACTGATTCCTATAATTGAAATTCACTTTTCATATTATTTACTGAATTTACTATTTTGACCTACAATTTGAAATTCAACTTAATTTGTCACTTTAGTAAGTGACCCTTAGAGATTGACTTGAAAGAGAAACGTATGAACTTGCCAGGTTCTCTGATGTTTTACGCTCCAAAAAGTGTGAATCCACAAGAAAATTGATAATCAACAAGAATCACTAACAAATAAACAGCAAAGCGGCAAAAAATATATAGTTTGGAGCGGCAGAACAATAATAGGTCCTTCTTATATTTAGAGGGGGCATGTTACTCCTGGGATCTTGAGATTAGGGCATAATTATATTAGTTTCAATGAATACAGAATAAAATGAAGTGTAAAGTTGATTGAATAAACAATAGAATAAAAAGTAATAACCTCTAAATTGGATTAGTCATGCATAGTTAAGATGTTGAATCAAGAATGAAATCTGGTCCTTGCCCTCATTCATATTGAGATGTTTATAGACCTAAATCAGTATATGTTTGATGCACCATTCATTGCACAGAGGTGGTTAATGTATGCCACGAGCAGACACAATTCTCAAACCAGCCCACGAAAAAAAAAACCTTTGCAATTTGGACAGGATGTGTTTGCTTATTCTAAACCATGAACCTCAGCTGATGTGCTTTGGGCAACATCTGATTTTTATATGCTGCTAACTACGGGCATGTTAATAAAAGAGCCATTCTCAGGCAATGTTCTAAAAAAAAAAAAAAAAAATCATCCTGTAATCATCCAGTTTGTGTGTTCCTTTTTTTGTATATAAATATACCAGCTTAAAAGACGGTACAACCATTACTTAAAATATAATTTCACAACCTCTTGCCGTAAGGGTACGTATAAACAATGGCACTTTCAAGGTACTTTTATTTTTATGTCTAAGCACGGTTTTATCTATGCTAGACCTGCCATTTTGTGGAGCAGCAGCTGCACAGTATGCCAGTCTTTCGGGGAGGGGAGAGGGTGGGTGGGGGAGGGCACAAGTACTGTGGTGTACATAGTGGTGCACTATAATTCAGGGCTCAAATAGACCTTCCTGGCCCCAATTTAGATTATTACTTGCACTTATATAAAAATGTGAAATGGCTTATTTCTGCGTAACCACAAAGATTATGAAAATTGCCCATGTTTGTACATGCATGTCGATCCCAAAATCCAAAGCTTATTTTGCTTTTAAGCTTCAGTTGGGAATTAAAGTAATTTAGTCAAGTTTTCAGATCAGATGCATGCTCTAATGAAATGCGTTGTGCACGCATATGATCGTAAGGGCATCTGAAACAGGTAGGTTACCAGTCTGCTAGAAAGCATGACTACCATATTATAACTGCAGTATACTGAAATGCTCCTAGATCCTTTGAGACATTAACTCACGTTTTAAGAAAGTGATGACAAATGGGACTCCTAATGTGATTTACATTGATGAGAGCCAAAAAAAAAAAAAAAAACTTACAAAAATGTTTTAAAGACTTTACATACACTACAAGTTTATACCTTGTATAAATGTAAATTGTTTGTTTTAATTCTGCAAATATGTGTTTATTTCTTTTGTATATTTTCTCACTGTGAGAAATTGTATTAAATTGTGCTATTTTGTATAGTTGTTCCATTTTGTTGGTTTTGATGCACAGATATTATACTTTAAAAAGAATCTCTTTGTCAAAATCTGTTTATTTAAAAGCTACAGAATATGCTCAATGTTCATATAACACAAATATAAAGCAATCTGTTGTCACAGAGAAGTAAATCACATTGATTATAGCCCATGCCAGAAGTGTAGGGAACACCAAACAGGGAAGCAGACATATATCAACGGCGAATCTTAGAGTGAAAACATGAATTATTCCATAATAGGAGGAGTATACTATCATTATCAGGCCTTGTTTAGGACAGGTATCAAGTAAAACC